TAACACAATGAATAGCTTGATATAATGATATACAATTCAATGAATATTATTATACATATATCGTTATTATTTTATAATGTCGAATGATAAATTCATTAGAAAGGATTTTGCGCATTATTTGCTATTAGTTCATATAACGCAAAATTAATCGATCCTATAATAATTTATCTTAATTAATATTGTCAATCCAATTGATCGTAATTAATGTCATATGTTAATTGTTTATTATCTAATCGGGAGCAACATACAAGATAATTGTCAATGATGGATTATGATACATTCTATTACATTCAATGTATTTGCAGATATCATGGTGCCCAGAACCATATACATTGCGCGATAAGTGTATCCCCTAAACATCGAAAATGAATGTGAGTTTGTGCCCGAAAGACCATTATATGTATCGTAAAAAGGCAATATAAATATTTATCGACTAGATTTTCGATCGTTTTTTTTTTCGGAATTCATAAGAGAGAAAAAAACGTTCCCGCTTCCTCCTTCGTCGAATTCTAGCGACTATATAGCCTTTAGGACATATGGGTCGAAAACAGCTCATCGAAGTGGGATTTTTATACTTTGCCATCTTTTTTCATACGTGGATGAGAGCTAAAATGATTATCATCATCATTTTTATCCTTAATGTCATCAATATCATCATTATAGTAATTATCGCCATAATTACCCTTAATATAATCATTATATTAGTTATTATCTGAATTATTGATGTCATTTCCCTCATTATAACTATTTTATTGATGATAATAACAATAAAGATAATTTTAGAAATAATAACAATAATAACAATTATAATAACAATAATCGTAATATTATGATTATTCAATTATATTTTATGATCATTATCGTTATTATTATTGTTATTGTCATGAAAATCATTTGAATATTGTTGATTATCACTATTATTGCATTAATTACGCAAATTATCATTATAATTATAATTATATTATAATTATCTTAATTAATGTCATGATTATCATAATTGATGTCATTATTATTGTCATTATTAATGGGATTGTCATCAAAATCATCATAATTAGTAGAATCATTGAAGAAATCATCATAATTAGCCCTTAAACTCGAAAAAGGGGGTTTGTCGACCCTTTTCTCAAAAGGCTATATCGCTAGATTTCGGCGTTTTTTTTTCGACTTTTGGATTTTATACTTTTAACATTTTTTTTTAAATTATGGATGGGCTTTATAATGATAATAATCATTATTATTATCATTAACGTCATCATTATAGTAATTATCGCCATAACTACCCTTAATATAATTATTATAATAGTTATTATCTTCATTGTTGATGTCATTTCCATCATTATAACTATTTTTATAAGGATAATAACAATAATGATAATTTTAGAAATAATAAAAGCAATAATAACATTATAATAACAATAATAGCGATATTTATGATTATTTCAATTATCATTTTTATTATCAGTATCGTTATTATTATTCCTCTTGTCATAAAAATCATTAGAGTATTGTCGATTATTGCTATTATTGCGTTAATTACTCAAATTATCATTATAATTATCATTATATTTTAATTATTTTAATGTCATAATTATCTTAATTAATGTCATTATTGTTGTCATTATTAATGAGATTGTCATCAAAATCATCATAATTAGCAGAATCATTGCAGAAAGCATCATAATTATCCCCTCAACTCGAAAAAGGGGGTTTGTCGAACATTTCTCTCAAATGGCTATATATCGCTAGATTTCGGCGTTTTTTTTCGACTTTGGGATTTTTATACTTTTAGCCTTTTTTCATTATGGATGGGCTTTATAATGATTATCATCATCATTATTATCATTAATGTCATCATTATCATCATTATAGTAATTATCGCCATAATTACCTTAATATAATAATTATAATAGTTTTATCTTAATTATTGATGTCATTTCCATCTTTTTGACTATTTTTATAATGATAATAACAATAATGATAATTTAGAAATAATAACAACAATAATAACAATTATAATAACAATAATAGCGATATTATGATTATTTCAATGATTATTTTTATCATCATTATCGTTATTATTATTGTTATTGTCATGAAAATCATTAGAATATTGTCGATTATTGCTATTATGCATTAATTACGCAAATAATCATTATAATTATCAATATTATAATTATCTTAATGTCATAATTATCATAATTAATGTCATTATGTTTGTTATTATTAATGGGATTTTCATCAAAATCATCATTAATTAGCAGAATCATTTGCAGAAATCA